CAGCCGGGCCAAAGCTGCATCAGAACAAGACTGAAAACATCTGATAAAAGGAGGAGTTGTCAGAACAGTAATAAAGAGCAACAGACCTGATAGTTACCAGCCTGCCATATTTTAGGGAGGGCAATCTTATCTACAGATTTTCATATTTTGCCTCTTGAACATTTATTTGATATAAATTACAAACGTAATTTCTCATGTACTTTCAGTACAGTCTCTGTCACCACCATGACTCAAATAAAGTAGGTGGGTGAAAGAGGACCGAGGTCTATTATTCAATTTATAGAAATATGTGAACATATTCCTATGAAGCAGAACTACTGATTACCTCTTTTCATTAATTCACACACCTGTTCATAGTTGTGCCTAAGGATAACACCGTGGCATTAGGGAGTCAGGTCAAAAAATTTTGAGAATTCCAACAGAATGGCTAGTGTTGCTGTACTTTTCAGGGAGGAAATCCTCATCACAAATCCTGGATTTGGGTTGCTATATATGAAGAAGTATTTTATTACTCCAACATGTGATACTCTCTTTTCATAGATATATTACTCACCCACATATTGAGGATTCCATTTTCATCCATTGAAGCTATCTGAAATGGAGGGCCTGACATTTCTATGGAAGGAAGAGTAACAATTTATATTCATATATGGACCTTCATCCTGAATGATATCAAAGGATTTGAAACAGTTCCTAGGTTAATACATTCTCTGAAACTTCTATGATCCTCTCAGTTGCATAAAAAAGGAAAGAGCCCCAATTCTACCAAAGAAGAAAAAGGCATGAAACTAGTTATGTTCAGTTTGTCCTACCAGAAAGGCAGCTGATCTCTGACTGCATCTTTTCAAATGCCTGGATTCTGCGTGGACTTTGGAACAGAAGATAAAGGGCAATAGATGAAAGCACTTAAAACCTGCAATATGCAGCACGTCATTGGACTACTATGGATTTCAAAGTGAAAATCTGCAATGGAAGTAACAGTGTCTTCTCTAGCACAGTGCCTGAGAATTTGGGGGCATGAGGATTAAAGTTTCCTTGCAAAGGTTGGTCATAAAAAAAAATTAGGCAAAAGGCACAGGAAGAACCACTATGTACAGTCACATATTTTAAGTGCTTTCAGATATAAGCAAGTTGATCCACTTTTTTAGATAGGAGGTTTTTTGGACATTATAGGAGCACTAAGACTTCTGTAAAGGCATTCTGATTGCTCTAAAGACATTATAGAAGCACCAAGACTTCCCTAAAGGCAGTTTTTGAGCAATAATTTTACGGAAGAAAAAAATATTGTATTGAAAACAGATATTACAACAAGCATGCACCTACATCTGATGTGAAACTGCACTGAATGAACATTATATAAAAATGAGAACAGAAAATAAACATGAATGTTGTATGCAACTGATACTACAGACAACTTAAGAGGCAGAATAGAATTATAAGCTGGATTTTGGCTATAATATGTTTGTTTCACTGGATACCTAAAGAAAGACTAAGATGTATTGATGCTTCGAAGAGCAACTTACATACCCCCCTGATAAGAGAGGCTTGAGAGCCCATAATTCTGATCAGCATAGAGAGAGGTTGAGACAGGTTCCACTGCGAGGACAGGAGAGGTGTGGTTTACTGAGTTTAGAATGCCATCTGTAATTAAGCATAATGAGAGGTAAACGCTATATTATTTTCAACACAAACAACAATGAAACCCTAATCACTTTTCGGCTTATGGAAGAATGATGATTACAAAAAAAGAATGGCAAATAATGAACTTCATTAAGCACTACTTTGTAAAAGTCTCAAATACAATACCGCAAACTGTTTCCTAAATTAATAAAATACTAAATTAATAAAATACTACTAGATAAATCAATGTTTCACCATTTGTATTTACTTTTCATTTTCCAAATGACTGCTGCACCATTTACACCAGACATTTCATTAAAATCTGCCATTTCAGGGTTACCATGAAAAGAATTATGTTAATTTCAAGCTTCATAAACAATAGAGGTAGAAATAAATCACTGCTTACTACAGAAAAGGCAAAACTGAAGAAAAACTACTCTTAATAGAAAGTAACTACCCTGAAACAAACAATTCACTACAAGAAAATATATATTTACCCTTTAACAATGTTGTAAAATAAATGCATATTTAGAGCAATTTCAGTATGCATTCTTTTTCAGATACTCTTAATTTCTGGACTTGCTCTGTGTGCTAAACTTAATCTCATTTAAGACTAAAAGCATAAAACTTCCTTAGTATGCAGCATTAAAAATGCTTCTTTACACAAGCAACTACATGAAACTCTGTATGTACATTTGACTACTAGCCCATTGTGCAACACAAGACCAAGCAGCTTTGAGCTACTAAAAAAAATTAAGTCTATCAACAACCCACTACTGTTTAACATGGCTACTGCAATTAGATACACTTGTGAACAAAAGAGGAGCCTGTGCATGTGTGGTGGTTTTTTTAGAAAAATAATAATACCTCAGGGTAAGTTAAAGTAAGTTAAATAGCAGCACTACACACACACACAAAAAAAAGGAAAAATACATAAAGAACGACTTATTTTGAAATAATAAAATTATTTTTAAAATATTGGTATGTGTTATTTTTCACTGTAGGGTACAATACAGTGCCAAGAAAAATGGCACCAATTTTTAATTAAGATTGAGACAAACCAAGGGTCAAACTGCTAGTACATACATCTCATTCCCAACCTCTCAACACACAACTACATACATTGAAAACTTCAGTAAGATTAATGACTTGCTCCTCTATTTAAATTTCCAATGACAAACACCTGTAATAGGCATAAAGGTCCATTCATTTCCATCAGATTCATAAAATTCTAAGGATGTCATATGCTAATCCAAATGCAGAGTGAAGTACTTTGGATTGCATTTTCTAGTGTGCCAGTTATATGTTTGAAATAAACTTCTGTAACTTTTGAATGTGTTGTTTATGGATTATAAGAAAATTTACAAAAGCCTATGTTATTTTATCATACACTAAGGGATCAAGTGTAGAAAAAAACAGAAATGCAATGACAAGAAAACGTCAGAGGAGGTCACTCTCACGCACTTTTGAAAAGTAGACTTTCTTCTGGCTTGCCTATACATTTGCAACACTAATTTAGGTCATATCTAAACAATGCAGCAAATGAATTTCACAGTAATTTTTGTTGCTGTGCTTCTCTGCCATTAAGAATCTGGAAAGAGTATGCTATAGCTCACAAATGGCCCCAGTGCTAGAGATTTTGCTCATGTGACAAGCTGGATGACAGAAAAATGTCCAGGTTTTGTTCCAACATGCAATCGATACATTTCTGGAGATACCAAACTAGAGAGCTTCGGGGTCCCAAAGTTTAGTCACACCTTTAGAATCCCTTCAACAAAAGACTAAAAGTAAATGACTGCTGACTACACAAGTCAGAATCCAACTTACTCCGTTATGTAGATGACCTCTGACATTCAGCCTTTATACACACTACTTGTTTCCAATTATATCATCCCCAAAACGATTCATATATTCTGAATCAATAGTATCATAAAAAGACAGTTGTATATGCAATGAAAATATGAGAAATTCCTAGATACTACATTGCTACAACAGTTGATAAATCGGCAATAAACAAGCTCTCTAGATCCCACGGAGTAGCACTGCACTGATGCTAACAGAGGTTATGGATGTATACACTTGGATGCGTATCTTGCACGCAGCCTCATAGAAACATCAAGACTTAAGTGACAATTTGTACAGACTGTGACTTTTAAATGACATTTGAAAAAGTGTGATTTATGGTCTTAAATTATCTTGATTTTTTTTAAAATTGCATCTTAATATGTGTCCTTAGATGTGGATAAAAAAAGAAACGTAGGTTATATTAAGGGAGATAACATGATGAAAATTGATTAAGGTAAGCGATTTCAGATGAGGTAGTAGTTGAGTATCTATTTTAATATTACGATGCTCCTTAGGTTCCACATCCTGTCCACCTCTCCGTTCTCACTGCTTGATGCATATTTATTATTACAATTTTACCTTTTTTAAACATTTATTATTATTTTACCCTTACATCTATTACTGATTGGCGATTTTTACTAGACTAAATATAATATCTGAACTGGCTAAACTAGGCTACTGAGAAGGAGTGTTCTTAGCAGAATTAGTAGTGGAAAAGTTTCACCACCCACAAAATTACTCATCAGAATGCGTAGATACTAACCAGTGGAAAATGTTGGAACTCTAAATGTCCAGTCAGTTTCACCGATCATCACATGAGGGTGCATTCTTGAGTCTTCTCGAAGATCCCACACCAACAATGAACCATCTATTGTTCCAGCAAAAACTAATGTTGCTTTACTGGGACTAGAGCAGCAACATATCACCTGTTAAGCAATAAAAATATGTCTGGATGATACTATGAAAAAGACCAATGATTTCATAAGCCTGAAACATGTTTGTTCTTCCTAGGCATGCAAATCCAGAGAGATAGCTTACAGGTCTTTGCAGTAGAAGGACAACTTATTTAAAAGGGAAGGAGGAGACAAGATTTTCAGTAGGCCTTCCCTTTTCAAGACAATTGTGTAACCTGCCTCTACTGCCACAAAGCTGAAGGGAGTGATTCGACTGTATGATAGTGACAGGTAGAGAGAAGTCCTGACAACATCTGAACCAGGTGTTCATTCACTATTCAATCATGAAAAGGAGTAAAAAATTAAAAAAAACAAACAACAAAACACCATAGCACCATGTCTACATTCTAGTCCTGGAGCACAAAATGGAATAAGAATAGTGGTTTGCTCATTGGACTCAAAAATGTTTCTCAAAAGGTGACATATCTTGCAACAGGACAAGAAAACAAAATACAAATAATAAAGCCATTTATTCAATGTCCAACTATGCAATGTTATTAAAACATACCTCTGAGTTGCATATTAAAACTTTTTGAGGACTGGAGGGCTGCCAGATGTTCCAAACGCATATGATGCTTTTTCTGTTCAGTAAAACAATACCTGCCTTTTCAGGTAATCCATGAACAGAAAGTAGTGTTTGCCTCTGAACTGGAGACATATATAGGCAGGATATTTTTCGGTCTAAACCATTAAAAAAAAAAAAATCAAGAAAAGAAATATATAAAAAAGTAAACTCACTGCAGATGAAAAGGCGTATTTAGCTACTATAGCAACAACCAAAGAAGCTAAGACATAATTATGAAGAATAACTCTATTAACAGTGGATAGCTTTTGACACTCACTATACAAGAAAAAAGGAGAGACTACAAAAGGAATTCAAAAAATTAGAAGCAAGTAGAAAGTAAAAAGTAAGAGAGTCAAGAAATTGATAGAATAATTATTCTGGGTATAAGCAAGCCAATCTGAGCTGACGTCAGTATATATACTGAAAATTAAGCTAAGCCTCAAACAGGACACAGCACAGGCCAGGCCTTTTCTGGATCATCTCATGTGTTCATATTAGAATACATATGGTTTTGCATTATAATAGGTCTTCCTAACATAATTATAGATGCTTTATTTTTCATTTTTCTTTTTATCCAAACATCTACTGTTTATATGGGGAAGATACAACTGCAGTTCAAACATATCAGGCTATATTCTCTCTGTTCAATAACCTTGCTTTATTTTCGACTTTCACCCTACTGTCAGCATAAAGAGCCTCAACGAAACTACAGCTCTTGGGATGGCCTTTCAACAACAGGGGTAGGAAATTACATCCAGGACACCCCTATATCACGTTATTTACTGGCTGAATTTCTCGTTTCACAGCAGCTAGGATACCCTGATGTTCCCTACATGAAACCAATCTGCAGAGTTACAGCAAGATTAGCGCAATTAAAAGAAAGGCGGGCTTTACATCATCCATATATCCTGATATGTGCTGTTTGCACTTCAGTCATGACAAAAAGCACAGTATTTAGCATAAGGAAGAAGAGTTCACACTATATACTAAAAGTAGTAGAGTAAAGTTCCCTTACCATGAAGGAATGGCTGGTTAGTATTTAACTGGAAACAGCTATCACTAATAGACAGACTGGTTTGTCGAGATCTTAGCTTCCACCTGGGTTGTGTTGCAACTTGATCTTCCTCTAGCAAAACAGCAATCACCTTTCAAATATAATTACATTTATAGAAATAAAAGGGTCGTCCTATCTTTCAGCTTTGCTATTTGTAGCTTTCTAAAGTATGTGGATTAATATAATAAACCTTTATCAACTCTCCTGTTAATTTTATACCTTTGCAAAAAACCAGCTTTACAGACAAAGTAGCACAGCTCTGGTTCCATTCCTTTGCAGAGAGATAAATCTCACTGATAATGAGTATTATTTAAGTAATTTATTTAAATTAGTCAGAACAAGTACTGTAAGTGATCTATCACACTGTATACTTATGCACACAACTCACAAGGGACATTAAGTACATAAGAGTACCTGGCAAGCAGACCGGAGGAAATTTGCTAATCTTTGTGAATCAATTTTAGGTGTTAGAGCTCCATTCACTGGCATATCCTGGCTGTTTAGGGGACCTAAGAAAAAACAGAAAAATAAAATCAAACTTGAAGCTTCAAAAGGGAATCTATTAATAAAACCATAAGAATGATGCAATTTTTAAGCAAGAGGAGAGTGGCAGGGATCAACTTCTCTTCAGCCGAAATAACAGTAGTGAAGAACAAGACCTGTTGCGGAATCATATCTGCTGCCAACAGAAACAGCAATCCAAAAGGAAGAAACTATTTCTGCCACTTATTCTCCACCCCTCCACAAGGGGATTCAGAGTGCCTATAGCAGTTTGGTGTTGATGCAGTCTGCCACATTACAAATCTTGACAATTAATAGGTACAGAAGAGAAAGTTTATGTGCGTACATCCATAAATGAGTAAGATTAAAGTGTTCTTCACCTCCAGATACAACAGCACTTTCTCCTGGATGTTGTGTCCATTTCTCCAATGTCTCAACTTCCTCAGTTTGAATGTCTCTCTCAATATTGTCCTCGTTACACTGAACATATGCCTAAAGTAGAAGATAAAGTGATCAATACATGGGTGACACAGCTAAGAATGACAGAACTGGACAGAACTTAAACTGATGGGCTCAACCTGTTCTGTCTGTAAATTAAGACCTAAGGATACCAACACGGTCACTATTTTGTGCGTGCCACATTTGTGCATTTTACCACATTTCACACAAGAGTGCTAGGCCTACTGCAAAAATACAGAATGTCTTACATGATGCATAAACACTAAACCCAGTGTACTTGAGACAGTGAGCCACAGACATATAGAAAGTCCTTTAGAAAGTGGGGAAGAAACATGAGAGAGTTCTCTTCTAACATAGAAAGGAAATGGTCTGTCTGTCCAGAAGTTTTGATATCATTGCTTTATAGTAACTAAGGCTTAGACATGAAAATTATTAACTTATTACTTTAGTATCCTATTAGCTTTAGTAACTTTATTTAGTAAGGAAAATTATATTCCAGAACAAGAACCAGCACTTTCAGGATTTAAATATTACTACATATTTGTTACCCACCTGCTTAGTGTTCATTTTCCCAAAATTCCTGATATACATGTCATACTCATTTACAGGAGGCAAATCCAATAAAGAAAAACTAACTGAGAAGTCCAGATCAATTAGTGGGAGAAGTTCTGAACTCCGTTTTCTTTAGAATGAATTACAGGAGAGAAACACAAAAAAGGTTAAGACCAAGTATTCCAAAAGAAAAACAACCTGATTTTGTACAGTACCAGAGATCTAACCATTCATTGATCTATGTAAACTGAAGCTGCACCAAAACTGATTGACAGATAAAAGCAGATCAATAGAAGTACACATAAAATTGTTATGAGTTCTCTTTCAATGTGTGCTGAGATAATTATCATACTTGACAATGTGATACTGACTGCAAATGGCAAACTTATATTGTTTATTATTAAACACAAACTGTCAAAGTCCAGCACGATCCTCTTCTCTAAGTATTCATAGATTTCATAGATTTCTAGGTTGGAAAAGACCTTAGAGATCATCCAGTCCAACCGTCCCTAATCTGCCATTAAACCATATCCTTTAATAGTTCATCCACCCTTTTCTTAAACGCATCCAGGGATGGGGACTCAACCACCTCCCTGGACAGCCTATTCCAATGGCTGACAACCCTTTCAGAGAAGAAATACTTCCTAACATCCAACCTGAATCTCACCTGAATAAGCTTATACCCATTTCCTCTTGTCCTATCACCCATCACTAATGTAAAGAGCCCTTCCCCCACCTCCCCACCATCCCTTCTCAAGTATTTGTAGGCTGTAATCAGGTCTCCCCTCAGCCTCCTCTTCTCCAGGCTAAACAGCCCCAACTCCCTCAGCCGCTCCCCACAAGTTTTATATATTCAAAAGCTGTTCTATGAGGTAACAAATGAATGTCTCTTTCTTCCTATACTTAGGATGGTGGCTAACTCTCCTAAACTTATTTTATTAATGTACATCACCTATATGTGTACATGTTTTATAATCTATAATGTCCTGGTTTTGCTAGGCTTAGGTAAATGCATTTTGAATTACCTCCATTGGCAATAGACTACCCGAATTTCTACTTCTTTACATCACTAGGGAAACAAGTAACAATAGCAGCTATCCTATAATATATTTTCAATATATACATTAAATGAATTTATTGCTGATTCATAACCTGTGGACATGAGTATCGACCTCTTCCCCAGAAATCAGGCCTCCAAAAACCATCAGTCACTGGACTGTTGGACTTGAACTAAGTTATATGAAAACAAATACTTGAGATTGAGTCACACTATGTATTTTTCAACTTGTAATTTTTGTTTTGAGTAAGATTAGCACATTGTACAGTATTTGAGATACCTGAATCTCTTTGTCCTATGAAATGCTAAATCTTTCCATATTCCTAAATTCCCTTTCTGGAATGACTAAAAAAAATAACCCAACTGCCTTATCCAGCTTCCCTCTATCCTTTTACTTTCTGCCTACCTAAATTCTTAGTTTTTTCATCTTTGCTCACAAATAAAACTGTATTTTGATTCTTAATTGGAAAACAAGTTACCTTCATATATGGTGTCTTATTCTGAGAAATAAAAAACATTTATATGATATTATTCATTATCATCAACTACAAAGAGATTCCCACCACTCCACTTGTATGGATGTGTGGGTAATGAAAAGACAGTCAACCTTTGTCACAATTCACACAACTATCCATCTACTTTAATGTCATTAAACTGTTAAGATATTTTAAGAGTCAACTGCTCAAATTACATAGAGATGTCTGTTCACAAGTTAATTCCATGATCTTGCTATAATACAAATTCCTTGACAATGAGAAAATTTTTGTAGTCTCCCTTTCTCTCTCTTGCACTTTCAGGTTTTTTTAATATACTTAATATAAATACAACCCAGATACAATTCTGGGTCTGTAGCAATTCCATTATCTAAACAGTCTTACAGATGCATATTCTAGTTGTAATTTCTTCTCAGTAAGATAGTCTTTGAAATGGGAAAAGACTAGAGCAGTGTAAGCCAGAATTTCTCCTCCAATATTTCAGGCTGGATCTTGCTTTATGCATAAGGACAATTTTCACATCTCATTTTTGCTACTTGATGATATCTATTGCATTTTCTTACCCACATTTTATTTTTACTTCTACTTCCTAATACACCACCTCTTCACAAACACTGTGGGCACGGATTGCTGAGATCTAATTCAAAGGTATCAAAGTTGCTTCCTAATTAGAAATCTTACTAATACATGCAGACAAATACTTAAAATAAACTAATAAGCTTCGTATTAACACTTAGAACTCCAAAGTGTCACAGGTCATTTATAGGATTGCTTTCAGCCTGTTTACCGGTGGCAATGTATTATCACAGCATTAAATTCTACAAACTCTTCCTCTTTCCATGAAAATATCAGTTATCTTCACAGGTGATATGCACTGCTAGCATGTATACAAATTTATATACATACTCATACCCAGTCATAGCACATAATCAGTAGAGGCTGTCAAACATTTCAGAAGGCAATTCTGCAGAGAGATGCCTTCCTGAATTTCCTAATCTGTTTCCACTGTCTAGAGAGGAAGCCTAGACAATGAACTTGTGTAAAATTTGGCCATATAAATTTAGGCAAGGTGAAGTAGACAGCCTAGACAATAAGGAGATTAGCCACTGATGTGAAGCCACGAAGCAGTGGATTCTAGTATTATCAATAAAATTTACCATTCTTGCTTTACGCGTCCAATTGCTGTAACAGAAAACTGGAGATATACACAGTGCTTCTGATAAATCTGGAGCTCCTGGCAAGTTCCACAAGAAAGAGGCATCAATTTGTTTCTTTAATACAGAGCTGTCTTGGATGTTTCAAATTTAGATCAATTTTAGATCAATATTAGCATGTTTTCACACCAACTGGTGTTATCCTTGAGAGGGAACATGCTATTTTGGCAACAGTATGTACCATACAGAGTCTTGATCATTTCAAAAAATTACAGTTGTGCAGAGTCCTGAGAGCAGCTAAAAGGCTTGCTCTCTAGTACTATAAGTCAATGTCTAATCAAGTGACTGGAGAATCAAAGAAATGACAAATCTGGCAACTCATTCTGTAATAAAATGATACACAAACTGACATATAGATAAATTTCTGTTATAAAATGTAATGTAGCGAAGTCTGTAAATCATATTTACTTAAGAACTGTTAGCTTACAAAAATAATACTTTGCTCTGAAAGCCTCAAGTTATTAAAGCTCATACATTTCAAACAATGAAAAAAATTACATTTTGCGTACGAATTGCTATTTTGCATGGATTATTTAAAATACACTTACTTCTGCTTACTAGCCATACTTCGGCTACTTTGTCGTTGGTTTGCCATTTGAAAATCCATGAATATTCCACAAAAAGAGTTTCTGACAGAAGGGTATTGCTTTTCTGTGATATTATAAAACATCGTTAGTGTTATAACTCACATTTTACAGTGCATTAAAATGTAAAGCAGTAAGTCTAAAAAGCAACAGATTATTACGACACAGCTACTAAAAGTTACTAGTTTGCACATTACACAACGTGCTCTAGCACGGTTATCAATACAATAAGCTTCTTAACCTCAGTGATGGGCCAGCATTTTTCCCTTACTACAGTCCTTTACCAATCAATTCAAAACAATCGACCGTTGTAGTTTTTATTTTAGAAGACTATGATGCAGAAAGCATCTCTCTCTTTCTCCTGCCAGTAGCAGGTTCTTGTTCCCCTATGCACAGTAAAACGTTCTGTGACCAGTTCTAGAAATCGTATCAAATTCACACAGGCTACACCTCTAAATAAAAATCCATCACTACAGCTAGTGGAGAACCTCATCAACATCAGCTTAACTCGTGCCCTTGGATGATTAAGCAAAACATTGAAAATTGCCACTTTAAAAGCCACAGTTAATGGAACAACTACAATATCTGATGTCACGTTGATTTCACTCCTTTTCCTGACTAGGTGGTAGCTAATTGACATTAATATCCAACTTCCAGTCAGGACCAATGGTGTTCCACTTACTCAGAGGAAGACTGCCTCTTTAGATAATGCCTGTAAAATGCTTTTAAACTTCTAAAAATCATTATCAGAATGATCAACAACCATTTTAACCAAACGAGATCAAAACTTCATCAAAAGAGTGTTGTGTAATATACAATAAAGCACTAAGTGCTACAATTCAGAATTTAGAAATCTGATTCTATGTTAGAATTCCATCGTGCTCATTAGATCTAGAGCATTAATGGAATTATTTTATTGATTCCATATTGTTTATTAGAAAAATAATAATTGCATAATCTGCAAGAAGAAATTTGCTTTACAGTATGCTGGTTCTAACTTGCAGTGACTACTTAACCAAAAACCTATTGAAAGACTTGCAGAAACTCCATGCTATTCTTCCAAGACTGTACTATGTACAAACTATAGTAAAAAGCTATTTAAGATTCTTTTGCACAGTTACTCTATCCTGCTGTTTGCAGGAGTGGAGAGCGCAAATGCGAACCACAGCTGTAGTTAGTTGAATAAGTAGGTCTGGCACTCACAGGTATCAGATCAACTGAATATAAGACAAGAATTCCATAGTCACTTTTCAGAAAAAAAATCCTGCATTGTAAAAGTTATATGGAGTTATGTATTAAAGTAGTATCTGTGTTTCTCTCGTCTTCCCCCCTAGAGCAGTGGCTTCAACTTTGCCTAAAAGAAAAAGGCAAATTAATGTCATTGGAAGACCCAAACTGTTCCAGCACTCCTTCAGTTTTCAAAATCCAGACTCTCATATCCTCCTTTTACCCAAAATAAGACGTATTAAATGTCAGTCTATAGTTCACATTTTAAATGATTAGTAATGCCTCTGAATCATTCTTTAGCAATGTGAAAGTTGCAGTACTTACCCACAAACCTAAGTGACTCATCCAGAGGACCAGATTTCTGCCTTTAGGCAGACATCCGGAAAAAAAAGCCTGTTTACTCGTAAGTTGCACGCGTTACTCATACCTTCAATAAAAAAAGACTGGTATCTAGTCACATACCCATGACTGGTGCCTTTTTTTCATTTTCAATTTTCTTTGGCAGTGAAGTACAAATTCTGTCATTTTCTGCAGTAATTGCTCTCTGAATTTCTTCAATATCTGATGTTCTGGAAAATGGAATCTCTCTTAGGTTTTCTTCTTCATCTCTTTCTTCACCACTTTCATTTTCATCATCATCAAAATCATCTTCATAATCCTTTAAAAGTGACAGGACTTTCAATAACTAATAAACATGTATTATAGATGTATTTTTCAAGATCTTTCAAATAAATTATAAAACGCTGTCAAAATAAAAATGAAATTCTCATACAGATCGCTGTAAATCCTCTGACTGAAAGGCATTTTAAAATAACTGTTTGATAGAAAGAAAATGGCATGTCTTGATTGTGCGGTAATTTTAATCAAGAGAAAACCACAGTATTGCTCTTCAGTGCCCAAAATAGATTCCTTTTTTTTAAAAAAAATATTCTAAAGTAGGAACTATATGTCTAGGTGAATGACATGTTCTTTAAAGAAATAAAATGACAGTGTTCAGTGGTATGAAGTGTTTCATAGATGTATAAATTCGTTTACTTGATAGTTTTAATTGAAGTTGCCCTTCAAAAGCAGGCTCACATTTACTAACCTACCACAGTGCTACAAGTCCACGCATAAGGCTCATACTTGAACAGTTCTCTTAATTAAGGCAACTCACCTCATGCTAAAATAATCACCTAACACAAATTATATTAATTTAAACATGCTCATTTCTCTCCACTGAATGGCAAAGGGCTACTATAGCCAACAGCTGAACAGTGGACATCAATCCTAATGTAAGTGGAGATGAATTCTAGCTTTGCTGAACAAAAATGTAGCAGGTTCAGCTAGCAATAAAAGCACATTCAACACACTCTTCTATCTTAATAACTTTAAAGTAAACAAAAGAGAGCCAAAAGTAAGAAAGTTCAATTAAACAAGTGAATTATTGTGTGTCAAAACCTTTTCCTACAATATTTTTGCAATGAAAAACAATGAGGCTTTTTTTTCTCCTGAAATCAATTATTTCTTCCCATTATTTAAGAAAATCAGCATTTTTCACAGAAAATCATTTAAGTAATTGTAATACAGAAACACAGAAAGAGCATCTTGTGAAGACTTCAACTCAAAACCAAAAGTTGGTTCTAAACCCCTGATGAAAACTAAGTAAATATATAGCAGAGAGTTTTTACATGATATTTTAGTTATTTATTATCTACTGTTAGCCAAGTTAAGGTCAGTCACAAAAAAAGAATAACTAAAAACTATGTAACATCCTGTAATTTTTATTTCTGTAAATAAAGCTAATCATTATTTTGATACTTGAGAATTACTTCAACAGGACAATTGTATGCTTTCACTTACTTCAAAATCATCTTCATAATTTGCTGAAAAGTTATCAAGTCCCGTGTCTGAATTATAGATGCATGCATCTTTCGTTTCCTAAATGAGAAAAATAAAAGAAACTGTTAAATAGTTTTTTCTAAAAAATAAATCTTTATCTGTCAAATCTTAGCATAAAGACACATGAATAGTTGTTCTCAGATATTTCTACATTTTCAAGCAAACATACAACAAATTCAGCGTAGAAATATATATAAAAATATACATAAAAGTGCATTAACAACTGGTGATTACTGATTTAAAATAACAATACAGGAAGACAAAACAGAACTCAACACCAACTTGGGAAGGCCAACTGTTTTCCCACCAGCATTTTTACTGGGAAAGACATAAAAACTGCTGTGTTGCCTATAATGTCATTAGTTCACAGTAGCTCTTATGATGGTGTAACAACAAAATAAGACTGTTCTACTTTTTCAAAGATTAGACAAAATTATCCCTATACCTAAGTTATACTGGAGGACTCAATCTGTTAATAAAATAGTGCAGATATTGGAACCAGGAAAACAGAGACATGGATACAACAGGAAAATAAGATATTTTTATACATAAATAATTTTATTAACATTGAATCCTCTACTGTATTTACATGGAATAAGATTTATGGCATCCCTGAAATAACTTCAAAGAAACGGCCTTTCTCCAGCTTATTGAACTTGATTAAAATAATGGCACTTAATTACTCCAACATGTACCTCAAACAAACATAAAGTTTAAAACAACACACATTGATCTATCCAATCTTTAGTCAGCATTTTCCTTCAATAACCTCTTCAAAGTCATAGCCTAAATCATCCATGTGTAAGGGATTTCAATTGATTTCAAAATGGAAATAAATGTGAGGTTTTATGAAAATTATCCAGCATAACAGCACACCTATCACCTGCTTATACATTAACAACCAAAGGATAGCAGCTGGTGGTCAAACACCAAGTTAGGCACACTTTTGACCCTTTCAAGACTCCTCAAGAGCTAGAGCCACCTAGTTTTCACAGAATGTAGTACTTTCAAAAGTATTAAGGACATTATATGATTCTATATAGCAGTAAACAGCTTCTATGGATATCTTACTTTCCAGAGTCATCAGACTGCTAGGACTAGGACTACAGCTCTTCAGCCTTTCTGGTTGCTGCTTTTTGTCATTTCTCAGATCAATCTTTGGATCAAGAATAAAATTACATCAGGTTGTCCATCTGGGCAACACTGGCCAAAACTGGGCAAAACTTCCCCAATTTGCTCTGCCTGCAAGGCTGCAGATATCCAGCAGTAACTAATTCATATGGAAATTCTTCTAAAATTCTTATTCCATTTAGTCAAAGACACACATAGTAATACATCCACAAAGATGCCTAAAATTTTTCTTGCCTTACTATAATCATCTCTGAATATGCCTATAGAGCTGTAATTTTTATTAATAACACAGTGATGTTAGTTGTGCAGAGTCCTTCACTTGGGGTATAAAA